TGTTGGGACAATGCTCTAACCAACTGAGCTACCTGGCCAGGGTGGAAACTATCTCCTAAGTAGCTTCCTAAGAAAGAGTTCATAAGGCAGATTCTACCTCACCCCTGGATTGATAGAATTTTAGTTTGGAAATCATTTTCACTCAATTTTAGATACTACCCTCTTGTGTTTAGTTTTCAGTGTTGGTGTTCAGAAATCCAGGGCCAGTTTCATGTTTATTCTTGGTGTATGACCTTTTTTTCCCCCTTCTATTTGCATATCCCTTTTCCCCATGGTATTCTGAAATTTTAGTGTTTAATAACCCAATCATGCAGGTTTCTCATGCCAAAAGTGTTGGGGTTATCTTGACCTCTTCTTTCTCTTATCCCCAAATCCATCACAACAAATCTTTTCAGCACTATCTTCAAACTATCTGGAATCTGGTCACTATTACTTCCAGTTCCACTATTCTGGCCCAACCCAATATCTCTTGTCCAACTTCCTAAAGACAAAGACTTTGCTTTAGTCATTCCTGTGGCCCTAGCAAGTAGAACAGGTTTTTGTATCACATACCCATCTCAGGAGTATGCCTGCCTGTACCTTTCCTGACCCCCATCTTCCCCCAAGGCATGTTACCTTTACCCTTCTCTCTCCTAAGCTCCAAGGGCCCTTCTTTTGCCTCTGTAATTTGTTTCTTGAGCCCATTTTTTCTACAGCTCACTGCTTCTACCTCTGTGACTTTCTAAATAAACTTGTTCTTATAGTTTGAGTCTTGGCTCTGAATTCTTTGCCAGAACTCAAGTACTGAGGCTGCTGAACCAAGGTCTAATCACCAGTAAATTCCGGTGCCGCTTTCCCTGCTGCCAACAAATTTATGATCAGATCACCCTGTTATGTTACTTTCAGTTACTGAACTTGTACATACCCCCTTTTTTGTCCACATGACAAGCAACACGAGAGACACAGACAAAATAATGAAAAAAACCCAAGAGTCGGTAAGCTCAAGAAGCTAGCTTCACAAGTATTTTCTCCTGCCAGTCTAAATTTAGCTCACCTCTTCTAACTTCCACTGAACCTTGCAGACAGGGATCAGGGAGGCTGTCAGGGTAAGAAGCTTACCCCTTGCTGGCTTTTTGTCACAAATCTCTCAGCTACAGCAGACCTGGGAGCTGGTAGTGTTCCAGCCAGTGAGTTCTCCTGGCTGGCTTTGCTCTCCAAAACTGTAGGGGAGGAAAAAGTTTCTATTCTACCCTCTTGGGTTCTTCTGGCTGGTCTCAGAATCAAATTGACATGAGACTGAATGTTGAAAAGGGGCCACATACTAAATCTGACAAGCTCGGGAGGAATGCATGATGGGGCCTTACAAACTCAGACCGAAAATAACCCCATAGGATGGCCTGAACATAACTGAAAGCTGGTCATGGCAGGTAGTCATGTCCTAAGCCTGTATCTTCCTTGACAAAGATCAATCTTTACCTTAAGTGAGCCTGTCTATTGTCTTCTTTGCATCTAAGATGATTTTTGTATATAAGATTACTTTGAAATGTCAGTAATTTTCTTTTCCAGACTCATCAAGGCACACCCGCCAGCACTAGAGAATGAAATCACAGAACCCCTCATTGTTATCTCTATGTGCTGTAAAACCCCTCATCTCTATGTGCTGTAAATGTTATTAGCTATCCTGTACTCACCAGTGTAAAAGAAGTATGTTTCTCCATCTTGCTCTTTATACCATCAGAGATTTCCTTGCTTTGCTTTCTCCCACCCTCTTTATCGACACCAATTTCATGTAACCCTCCTTACATCCCCTCCTCTTATTCTAATGTATAAAATAAGCTGCAAAACTGCTATTCTCCAGGACATTTTTGTTACCAGATTAAAGGGGTCCATTTGCCTGCACACATCAAAGCCCAATAAGATGTGAACAGGAGTTGGCAGCAAAGAAAGTAAAGGTTTACTTTAAGGAAATGGTGCCAAGCCCAGAGTGAAAGGTAAGCAAGCACTCTAAAACCTAGCTCAATGGCTAGATTGCCCCATCCTCTTCCAACCATATTGTCTGACAAAGACCGGATATGGAGAAGAAAGCTTCAAGGAATACATCTTCTAGGAAGAGGATGTAGCATAGGGGTGGGATTAATCGGTATTATGGGAATTATAATATTGGGAATTATTATTCTACTATATGACTAACCTGGGAATAACAAGGTATCTGAAATCGTGCCTCTTCAATTAAATTCTGAAGAAACTCCAGCTTCCCCTGAAACAGTCACCACTGCATGTCCAGACTGTCTTAACAATTTACTAATTCAATTAGGTAAAAACTTCCCCCAAAAGTTCCTAATAAACAATTCATAGATGAATTATGACAGGTAGAACTAATAGAGGCACCTTATACTTCTGTGCCTCCTCCCCAGATAGAATAAGAATAGTTAACAAAGACGGACTACGTGTTCCTTATGCAAGCTTGCCTTCATGGAACGTTTGGCACGCCAAGGTCCCCGTTGGTGTTTATGCACAAGGGAACAAAGGAAATCTCAATTATTGCAATTGAATAGGTTTTATAAGAAATGTTGTCTGCCCTGGCCGGTTTGGCTCAGCGGTTAGAGCGTCCACCTGTGGTCCGGAGGGACCTGGGTTCGGTTCCCGCTAAGGGCACGTACCTCGGTTGCAGTTTGTCCCCGGCCCTGGTTGGTCGTGTGGGTGGCAGCCACTCGATGTGTCCCTTTCACATCGATGTTTCCCTCTCTCTCTCTTCATCTCTCTCCCTCCCACTCTCTGTACAAAAAAAAATGGAAAAAAAGAAATGTCCTGAGTTAGGGAGGTAAATAAAAAACTAGCTGATCTAAAAACCCAGAACTAGATTTTAAATAAGGGTCAACTATTAATCTCAGACAAAGGGCCTATAGAAAACTCTGTCTCACCTTACAGGTTACTCTACTCTCTTTGTATCTATAAACACAAAAAGCTATAAATTAATTCTGATAAAAATGAAACTAATATCCTGGTACTATGGAATGTAACTCCCTGCTTCTTTAACCTCAAATGTTAAATTTATGCCAAAAAAGAAAGTATATAAGCACATAGGAACTTGCAATAAATTGGAACAATGTCACACTTCCTCTGAGTCGTGTAGTCATCTGTCTCCCAGTGCGGAAGCCTTACCACCTCAGGACCCCCTGGATCCTGCTGCAGCTGGACTGCGGCACCAGATGGGAACAGATTATGTACAGGAAAAAGTACTAATCATGGTGATTAAGGGAATTGAGGTTGTGGGGTTTACTGACTGGTTGGGGCCAGGGAAGAGAATAGTTGATCACTGTATCAGGTGCTGATGTCAACCATGGCATTATTCTTGTCTAGTTTCACGAGGCTGGTAACACAACTGTGTTGTTACCTTTAGTTTGACCAAAACTCTGTTTCTGTGGTCAATAGACCTAAGCCTTTCTTGTTAAGACAGTTTGATGCTGACCAGATCTGATGTCCTAAGGGCTTAATGATAAAAGGAGGGAGTGGATGGACAGAAAGGAGAAAAACTCATGTTAAACAAATGGAGTTTACATGCAGTTATGTTTCCTCAATCCACTGAGATGCAACTTCCCAGCAATTGTCAGTTTGGCTCAAATAAAACAAAAATTCTCTACAGGTTTAGACATTTCTTACATTGACAAGGACAAAAGCAAATTTAAATTTGATAACATGTATACCTTGTGCATATATGAGAGAGATGCAAGAACACCGAGTTAATTAATTTGCTAAAATGGCAGAAACCATCACCTTAAATGCCACCTTCTGCTAAAGACAAAAGACGTTGACAGTGGAGAGTCAGTTACAAGATTCCAGGAAAAGCACTGTAAACAAGGGTGGGATTGTTATAAGCATTTTCCATGTCTTCTCCATTGATAGTGAAGATAGTCCTGCTACAGTGAGGGATACACAAATGGATATTTCCCCTATAAAAGTAAATATCCTTTCAGCAAGAGTAACTTCTACTTGGTCTTAGAGCTTCTCCAGTGTTGACTGTTTCTTAAAAGAATCCAGCCTAAAATAATAGCCGAAAGAGGCATATTTGGGGGTGGCAAACAGCTCTCCTTCAGCAGCAAGAAACTTTAAATTCAATTTGACTCAGAATTGAATAAGAAAACATTCTGCAACACTGCAATATTACAGAATATTAATATCAAGTATAATGTATGACAAATACTATATTAATAACTAATGTATATCAAGTTAATTAACAATTAAGATTATTATTTGGGATATTTCTTTAATACGTTTTTTAAGCTCTCTTGGCCTAGATTTCCTATTCTGTAAAAACCAAAATGTAATCATGGGCCCTATCTTAAGAGTTGTTAGCAGTATTAAATGGGATAATGCACCATATATATAGAGCTTGGTTATAATCAACACCCTTTTCAGGTAAACTAATTATTATTGACATTTCCTAAAACTCCTATTTTTGCCATATGCAACGCTCAAAAAAGGAAAAAAAGCTGGGCGTTAGCACTAGTTACCTTTTCTGGACCACTTTATTAATATTTAAACCTGAGAGAGTCCCAAGAACGCCGCGCACAATTCAAGGGGATTTTCGGGGGGGGAGGGGGGGGAGCGGGGCGGGGCAGTACGTGCCCCCCAGCGGGAACCGAACCCGGGACTCTATAGTCCCTAGGCCGATGCTCCAACCGCTGAGCCAAACCCGCCAGAGCTTAAGGGGTCTTTCTGCAGGTCACGGGTTTGGGAGAATTTCAGGCTGGAGCCTGAGAAGGTTCCTGCCCTGTCCCGCCAAATCGACCACGCGGTCACCCCTTCCCGGGAGCTGCCTACTCTCCTCCCCACGACTCCGGTCCACGCTGGGAGCAGAGGGGGGTAAGCAAAGCGCACGATCACTACTCACGCTACCCCAAAGCCCACGAGCTTAACAGCACATGCCTCCCGTGCCGCCGGGGGCTCTGGGAAGCCCAGCGGCGACGGTGTCGCAAAAGTGTCGCGAAGGCTCCCGTCCGCCCTTGGCGGCTGCCGCCACCTGTATAAGAGGAGCATGCTGGGGTTTGAAAACAAGTATGGAAGTGTCCAAGGTCCTCGGAGGCTGTAGGCACTCGATGGAGAAGCGGCTCGTCGGTGGCCCGGGCTGCTAACCTCTCTCCGCCTGCATTTCCGCAGTGCGGCCGCAGGGCCATGCTGGCTTCGCGCGTGGCGCGCGGCTCGTGGGGTGCATTACGCGGGGCCGCATGGGCGCCGAGGCTGCAGCCGGGCAAGGGGCGCGCCCTCGGGGCCCTCCTGCCGCCCGCACCTGTCTGCCTGGGCTGCCTGGCGGAGCGCTGGTGGCGGCGCCCTGCCGCGCTCGGCCTGGGGCTGCCTGGAGCAGTCCCGCGGGGCCACTGCTCAGGTGCGGGGAAGGCGACCCCCGGGCCCACGGCCGGAGAGGGTGCGGCTGCGGAGGCCCGGGGCGGCCGCTGGGGCCCCGCGGGCGTCACCAGCCTGGTACGTACGGAGGAGCAGGGGCTGCCCTGGGTCGGGGTCGCTGGCCCTCCGGGGGATCAATCCCGGACGCGAATAACGTGCTTTGGCCGGTCCCGGTCGGGCGCTTCCGTTTCCGAACTTTTACACTGTTTTCTGAAAAGGTAGGGGCAGGTTATTTGGGTGGGACGAATTTAAGAGTTATCGACCGTATACTCGCCTTCAGTCTCGATAATTAAATTAGAACCCACACTCCTCCGTTTCTGTCCGCATCGGTTGCTGGACCGGCCTCGATATTGCATTGATAAAAATAGCCCTCACTTGTCTTTTGAAAGTCTATTTTTAATTTGATGAAGGGAACCCCTAGTGTTTAGGGAAAGTTTGTGGAAATCATCAAAAAGGTATACAGGCCTTTCTGTTTGCTTTTGCAGGTTTGGTTCACTATTGTTTGACCTTTCAGTAACCTTACATGTTATAAGCTTAATAATAATTAAATAGTTTAAGTTGTAGTCAGAAGATTCTTTAACCTGTGATTACGAAAAAAAGGATTAACATTCTCTCGAGGTAACGGAGGGAAATATTTGTCTACTTACCTGTTGAAGTACTGCCCAAGTAGAAGACACCAGAGCATGAATGTAGGGAGAGCTTTTGATGTCATGTTAGCAAGGCTCATGCAATTATTACATCTTCAATTGTTATGTCTTCAGTGGGCCCCTGTACTGCTTTCATAAATTGTACAGCATGGGTTGAAGTGGCCACATCCTGGCAGGGGTCTCAACTGCTCTGATAGCTAAAGCATGTCAGGGTTTGAATGTTGGATGCTTTGAGGTTCCCATATGCTGGCTGAAGTCCTTCCCAGAACGGCAGTAGTTGGTCGAGTATGCCACAGGTTATTTGGTTGGGTAATCTGAGATTAGCTCCCTTAACTTTACTTTAGAAATTTACAGATTTAACTATTATAAATTAATGAAGTGATTTTGACTGAAATCGTTTTCACTGCAACCTGGTTTATGTCACCAAATTAAGTGATCTGGCTATTTGCAACTTTGTCTTTAATTTTGTCCCATGAATATCTGAGATTAATTTTGGGCCTCTTGATTCTTATCTTTTGCTTTGTTATTCATTTTTCTCAATCTTGAACTATCTTTTAACTCCCTCTATGCGTTGTAACATTGAATCAATATTTGACTTATTTTGTACCACAGTATGGTCAACAGACTTACTTTTTTCTCTGAACTCTGAAACACTCTGACCTTTGAACTTGAATTTGGAATATATTCCAAGAATGTTTCCATTTAATTAATTATATAATGTAGTCTATTTTCAATGAAAGGTCCCTGGGTAGAGGTTTGTATTGCTTCTTGTTTGGTGATTGTTTCCTGGAGAATTTTAAGTTTTTCTGTAGCTTTCAAGGACAGTATTCTGTCACCTGATTCTAATAACCCCATTATCCTGCTAAACTGAGGTGAACATTTATTGCCAGGATCTGTTTAAAAACACAAACTTAGTATCTATAGAGAACTCTTTTCTTACAGGATGGTCCATGGGATTTTAAAAGATGTCTTTAGAAATGGAATTGATCATTAAAAAAAAAATCAAGATTAAGGTTCAGGCAAATTAGTTACTAATTAAGAAAGAGGTTAACTGTGGTTAGTCTTGTGAGGCAGTCCCCAGGGCTAGAATTGGCAGCCTAGGCTCCCTGGGAAAAAAATCCAGGCATTAGGGAGAGACATTTTCTTGGAATTATTTCTGTACCCCATTGTGCAAGGCATCTTAGCTCTGAGGCTTTTAAAATACTCTCTCATGAAACATTGGCAAGGAAGGAATGTTCTTCAGAGCAGCTACCAAGAAGCCCTTTTGGTAGTGCCACCTTCAAACAGCTTGCTGCAAATGAAGTTTCAAGGAATCATAAAGCTCTCACATGGGGAGCCGTGCAAGGTCTTAGTTTCTAGAAAGGTCTTAACATTTCCGTGGCTATTTTCAAGTTTTCCAAATTTCTCTTTATTTCCTAAGAATTGAAATCTCTATTCCTAGTTCCATTTTCTTTTAGCAGTTCTCCAATTTAGTAGTGAGGTTATGGAATTCATCCCTCTCTCCCCTCCCCTTCATTTGTGTCAACAAGACACTGTGTATATCATTTAATATTCTTTTTTTTTAAATCCTCACCTGAGGACATTTTTCCATATTTTATTCAGAGAGAGAGAGAGAGAGAGAAACATTGACATGAAAGGGACACATCGAGTGGTTGCTACCCGCACGACCCAACCAGGGCCGGGGACAAACTGCAACCAAGGCACAAGCCCTTAGCGGGAACTGAACCCGGGTTCAGACTGCAGGCCGACGCTCTAACCGTTGAGCCAAACTGGCCAGGGCTCATTTAATATTCTTTTGATGGGTATATGTAGATGGTTATATATGAAGGAGATCCTTTGCAGTAAATATTTTTAAGCCAGAATGCCTGGGGTTGATAATTTTTTTTCCTGACACTTTCTAGACTGTCTACTTGAAGTATAAGATTTTCTTGAAGTTTCACTTTTAAAAGCAGTATTTAAAGTTTTGAATTCTAATGGTGAGGTCATATATTAAAGGCTGGACTTATATGGTAAATAACACGTTTGTTCCCTCTCTTTAGGAAGAAACCTACTCTGTATATAGTAGATCCTTTAGTCTACCTATGGGTGCAAGACACATTTTCATCTGTATTCTTGACAGTTTTAGAGCAATGTCTCAAAACAACAGATTTTAAAACTCGGTTTAAAGTACTAAATTTAAAGTGAATGTAGCTCTAACCCTTAAGTTTAGAAAGTGTATTTTTCTAATGTATTAAAGTATGAATTTAATTTAAATTTTGTTGTGTCTTTGTTTCAGTATGAAAACCCATGGACAATCCCAAATATGTTGTCAATGACGAGAATTGGCTTGGCCCCAGTTTTGGGCTATTTGATTATTGAAGAAGATTTTAATATAGCACTAGGAGTTTTTGCTTTAGCTGGGCTAACTGATTTGGTAAGTTTTAAAATCACATCCTCTGTTTTGCTCCCCTTCAACATCCCAGGGTCTCTACTACACAGAACTAGCACAGCCTTAGCCTTAGTCTGCTTTTTCTTGGAAGGAAATCCTCAAGAGGAATTTCACCTGGTACTTTGTGTAAGGACTTGTCCTTAGCATCTCTGTGGGACTCTGTTATTCTTTGAGATCTAAGGAAGGTAGTTGAAGTTGTATGGAGGCATAGGAAAGGGAGCTTTTTACTCTTGGTTTTTAACTTCTTGATAATAGAAAAACAGAAATTCCCCAAGAGCCAAGTATTTGTGTTAGGGGTAGAAAAAAAGGAAACTATTTCTGTTCATTGTGATAGAAATACTCTGATCTTCAACAGTGGTTGGTGTTTACTGGTGAACAGGGAAACAGTTGTGATCAGGGAGCTTGTAGAGGCTGGAGCTCTGCTCAGGTTTATGGTGGTGGGAGGCCACAGGCACCCCGCAGATTTGGCCCATGATCCCTGTTTCATACCCTTTTGAGTACCCAGCAGAATACTATATCCTGGGTAGGCATTAGGCATCCTTCCTTGTACTCCCCCAGCAGATGGGCAAAGGAGAGAAGTGTTCCTTGGCACCGCTGAGTCAGTTGGGGGGTTGAGAGGAAGATTTATTTGGGTTCTTTCCAATTAGTACTTGGAAAATAATTTTTTAACAGAAGGCTACATTATGGGTTAAACAGGGTTTGAGGAACTGACCAGCCATCATTGTATATGACATTGTTTGTAATGATCTCTTACCTTGTTTTGTAAGGGATTTAAAATGGTTTGTAAAACTACATGTCCTACAATAACACAGTTGAGGGAAGTGGGGAAAGGAGAGAGGAAAAATTTGACATCAGGGCAAAGTTAGCATATAGAAATAGGTACATATAGTATGTTGTTGTACAAGGCTGGCCTATTGCCTTTGAAGTTCATATAAACAAAATTCCTCCTGCCCAGTAGCTGCGGTGGGCAATATGGAATTGGCTAAAGATTTTGCAGGATAAACAAAGGAGGGTATTTGCATTATTATGTGGCATTTCCAAATATGCATCAAATATACTCTCAAAGTGGCTTCCACCTCTTTTTTTCAGAGTTTAGGTCCTGGTTTGTTACAGTTCTTCCCCATTCTCACAATCCCATCTCTTCTTTTATCCTTGCTTTTATCTCTGAAGCCTGAAGGTCTACTCTCATTATTAATATGGTCTCAAGTCCGACCAAGGCTATTTATACTGATAACGGAATTTTTTTGTTTGTTTTTGGAACAGACAAGATCTTTTTCAGCTACTGGAGTTGATCTTTTTTTGTTGGCAGTTTTTTTCTAACTGCCGCATGAGATTGTAATAGTCACTGAATGCGAGGGGCCTCATTTACAGTTTTCTAATATAAGACATTGTGTGTAGAAACTTGAATTAGCTGGCACCATATTTCACATTTATTCCATGGGGATTTTGATGCCTCTAGAATGGCTGCTGGGCAGATGGCTGGACTCATGGAGGGTTTAAGCAGGGGGATGACAAAGCCTGATTCGTGTTGTATATGGGGAATGGATTATAAGAAGCCGAGAGTGGAAGCAGAGCAGGTGGTTAGGAGGTTTACATAATCTGGGGGTGGGGGGTGGGGTTAGACTGGGGTGGGAATTTGGAATGAAATAGAAGTGAATGGGTTTGAGATATGTTTTGAAGATAGAATTGATATGTTGATGCATTAGAAGTGTGGGGTGAGAAAAGGAGTTAAATATAACTGGTAGGCTGTTACCTTTTTTTTTTTTATAACAAGCAGGTACATAGAGGTTAAAATTTCTGTGATTGATTAGTAGCACTTAGGGTAGGGCAGGGTTTGTGGAAAATTACCAAGAACTGTTGTTTTTTTCACATAGAGTTATTGATTGGGTAGTTGAATGTAGTAGTGTGGAATTGGAGCAAGTCATGGGTAGAGGTGGATTTGAGAGTTATCAGCACAGTCAAGTCTGGGAAAGTCATCTAGGCTGTGATAAAAGAAGAGAAAGGATCAGAGAAATGAGCGATAAAATGGAAAGGAGTAGCTGGTGAGAAAGGGAGAATATTAGGCAGTAAGATGTCCCGGAAGTTAGGTGAAGAGTGCTTCAATTTGTGTTGTAGTCAAGTAAGCTAAAAATGTAGACTTTACCCTGGGCAGTTTGGCTCAGCGGTTGGAGCATCGGCCTGCGGACCAGAAGAGTCCCGGGTTCGGTTCCCGCCAGGGACATGTACCAAAAAATAAATAATTTTTTTTAAAAAAAGTAGGCTTTATTGGTGACCTTTATGAGTACCATCTGTAGACAGTGGGACAATCAGGGTGGGTTGGTGATCAATTGTGAGGTGGTAATGACAATAGACATTCACTTTGAGGAAGTTTTGCTTTATAGGAGAATAAAGAAATAGGGTCAAGGAAGCGTAGTTTTAAAAAATACATATTCTGGCCCTGGCCGGTTTGGCGCAGCGGTTGGAGCGTCGGCCTGCGGTACTGAGAGACCTGGGTTCGGTTCTCCCTAGGGGCACATACCTCGGTTGCAGTTTGTCCCCGGCCCTGGTTGGTCGTGCGGGTGGCAGCCACTCGATGTGTCCCTTCACATTGATGTTTCTCTCTCTCTCTCTTCCTCTCTCTCCCTCCCGCTCTATCTGAACAACAACAGCAAAAAAAAATACATATTCTGGGAAAATTTTTGTTCTTAGGAAGGGAGAGATTGATGCTGCAGGAGAGGTGGGGAAGGAGGAAGGTAATTCACAGAAGGTGAGAGGGTCTGGAATCTGATCAAGAAAGGTAAAGAGAATGAACAGATGCTGGTAGATGGTGGATTTGGAGGTGGGAATATGAGGAAGTACTGACAATCTGCTTCTATTTTCTTCATGAAAAATGTAGACATGGTCATGAGCTAGAGTGAGAGGCTTTGGAAAGGATAGAGTAGTTGGTTTGAGATGAGAGCAGCCAGTGTGAAAAGAAAGTAAGCAGGTGTAGGGTTGTCAGCAGTATTGAGTGCCCATGGGAGCTATGTGGTCATGAATTCGAAGTGAGATCAGTCAGCCCATTCTTGATCAGTGTTTAGCTGCTCAGGTGCAGGCCTGGCTGGGGTACATGGGTCATTGTGTTTAAGCAGGATTAAGGGAGAGTGGAGTAGGAGTTATAAGTGTTTGCAGAGCAGGGGTGATGTTGATGACCTTGTAGAGAGAGGAACAGTGAGGATGAGAGGGTGATGATGGTGAAAAAATGGGAGGTTAATTTCCCTGAGATCAGAAACTGAACTGAAAGCTGAATCTTTCAGGGCCCGAACTCCAAATACCAGGCACTTCCTATTAGCCAGTTTTACATGGCTACCCAAGAAGAAAATAGATTCTTTCAGTTGTGGTAGTAATATCTAGTAATTGCTTTTTGGAGGAATTTAGTGAATGTTGATTGAGGTAGATAATACTGTCTCTGTTTTATAGATGAGGAAACTGAGGCTTAGAGAGGCCAAATGATTTGCCCAAGGTCACCAGTAAGTGGGAGAGCCAGGACTTGAACCAGTTACATTATTTTGGCAAAGAGCAAGTTCTTAACCATTGCCCTGTGCTACTGCTGTCTCCTCTAACTCGTTGGAATATTTGAGATATGGGGTGTTTATCTTATAAAGATGTATTGTGTTAAATTATGTCTAAATTAATTTTATTTTTTTCCTTTAGAAATAGGATTAGAAAATTCAGACATTTTTGAAGGTTAAAGTTAAATAAAGTGAGTAAAAAGTCAGGTAGGGACTTGGAAAACCAGAAAATATTTGCTCTGTTTAATGGGGATAGGTGATACTTTGTTTCAGTCCATTTTGGCCCCAGTGTGGGCCTAGAGATCTGAATTTTTGTGGTAAGACTTTGAATATTTGGCAACTAATTTATATTTTTCAAAGCTCTGGGCAGGTCATATAAAACCAGCCTGCAGGCCGCATTTGGCCCACTGGCAACCAGGTATGACCTCTGCTTTGAAATATTATTTGTTTGTAAGAATAGTGAATAAGTACAGTTTGTATCAAAAATGAAGGCCAGGCATAAAGGATTGAATTTTTTATTCAAATATAGGTCATGCAAATACAACCAGATGTGGAAGTAGCAGTGGCACTAAAATTTTAAAAAATGAAAATAATAGCAGTTAAAACTGAGGGAGTTGGATGATATTGTAGAAAAGTAGGTAGGAGTGAGTCTCACAGTTAAAGGGAAGTCCTTGCAAGTAAAAGCAACTTCAGCCCAAGGCTCACGAGAGGGGCCTCCTGGTCCATGCTTTGTCAGTTGTGCTTTCTGAGAGTTTTGGGGGCATTTCTACATCTCTAAATTTGTGTCTGGGTTCATCCCACAAAGGGGCATTGTGAAAACATTGAGAAATACCAGAAGGCATTGAGAAAGAAAAGTATTGTGGAAAAGTGAAATTATTTTCAGACCAGTTGGTAATTTAAAAGCTAAACGTACACCAGTGAAAGAATGAGAAGGTTTGGGGGTAAGAAACAGAAGAGATTTTATTTACATTTTATACAAGTATAGTTGTTATTTTGGTATCTCTTCAAGATATCTACTCTGTGCCTATTGTGACATTTATTTTTAAAAAAAACTTCTATTTTCAGTTGGATGGATTTATTGCTCGAAACTGGGCCAATCAAAAATCAGCTTTGGGAAGTGCTCTTGATCCACTTGCTGATAAAATACTTATCAGTATCTTATATGTTAGCTTGACCTATGCAGATCTTATTCCAGGTAAGAACGCCATCATGCGTACTTTTTAATAGCACAGGGAAGAATGACATTAGTCAGTTTAGGATTTCTCTTGATAGACAAATTGTTGTTCCAGAAATATATTTTCAACTTTAAACTGTTTCCCTAATTTTAAACTATTGAACTGTTTGGCTTGTCAAGCTATTTGTTTTACTTTAGAATGTATGTCCTTATTATGCTAGTAGAATTCATTTAGTAAGATTGTTTAAAGTTAAAATTGAGCAGATATTTCACAGTGCCAATTCATATTACTCTACAGTGTTTTAAAACCATGTTACATATTCTTAGTGCCTAGCTTTTAGAAAGCAATTTAAAGTTTTCCTAAGTACAATTTAATCATAATAAATGACAGTTCTGAAACCCTGATGATGGCCAATATTTCACATTATTATTACTTAGACACTATTATGCAATTTTAAATCATGCATATTATTTTGTACATTTACACTATCTGAATACTCTTTCTAACAAAATTTTATGATCTTTTGCTTTGTGTTTTGCCGGTGCTTTTCTGGTTGTTCATTTTTTACTTCACTTGTATGTCTTAGTTTTTCTCCCTTGGTTGAGATTAAACTATTTCTAAGAGTTCGAAATAGAATCTGAGAACAAAGAAGCTGCCACATGGTCCTTCAGTAAATAACATGTATTATTGATATTTGAAAGGAAGAAGTTTCAGTCTAATATAGAATCCTCAATCTAAACATTATTTTCCCCCTCTACCTTAAGGCTTTTAAGTTCCCATACCAAATTTAAAAATTGGATTAATGTTTTTATTTATGTGCTTCTTTGAAAGTCAGAATTGTGTTAGTATGATTGGTGGTGTTGAAGGGGCAGGAGTAGTCTCATTCTAATAAATACAAATAATTTGTAGGGAAAAAAGAACTAAGGAGCATTCTATTGACATTATTAAAAATTGAAATGACCATGTGTACTTTTATGCCTCTTGTTTTTCAGTTATTTTATACTTTTTTGTTTTATTTTACATAACTTAGCCAGATATTTCCCTATTAAACATAGCATTGTTTCCAGATTTTGGTATTATGGACATTGTTGCTGTGAGCTTTATCTAAATAGTTGGTGTAGGTTGTTTTCCAAGCTGAGACTTCCCTTCACTATCACTCTGGAAAGTTCCATTTTTCTCTCTTTGTTGAGTCTATTATCTGGGCTCCCATGGCTTCCTTGTAAAGGTCCTTCTGTTGGTGGAGGGCAGCCGCTGTTTTCCTGTGCAGGGATGCAGTGTGGCTCCTATATTTTCAGAGCACTAAAATGTCTTTATTCTAAAACATAAAAATGTCATCTAAAAGACATCTGAAATGTTGGTGTTCTACTCTTCCTAATTGATTGAGGTTTGACCTGGGCATAATTTTCAACTGCAGATTACTTTCACTCAGTTTGTTGTTACATAAGTTGACCCATTTATTATAGGCTAGCAAGATTTCAAATTGTGGAGCTTCCACTGGTCTTTCAGTTCCCAGTCTTCTGATGGCAGACTTCTGACTGATGGCAGACTTCTGACTGACGGCAGAAGTGGTGGCATAGGTCCAGGCAGCACCAACTGCTGTTTTCATGCAGGAGCCGCAGTGCCAGATCCCACAGCTCGTCCCTTCATCTTGGTTTTGCTTCAGAAGGAGCAAGTGTACTTGGCTTGCTAACTGATCTCAGTTTTCTTCACCACTTTCCTGAGGGAGGCGTCTTGTGGGTTCCGTATATACCGCTGATTCCCAAGATGCACTAAGCCATGTCACTGCAAACTAAGTCTAATCCCAGAGAGCTCACTCAGTTTTGAAGACCTTGTTCTGTAGACTTCCAGATTCCACCTTGCTGTTGAAAAGGCTCATGCCATTCTGATACCTTTTCTTTTGCATGTGGTTATGTTTTATACTGGAAAGCTTTTAAGAGTTGTGTTTACATTTTCCTAGTTAACATTTAAAACAATTATCTTTCTTAAAAATTAATTTTGTTTCTATGGATACCCAATTATCCCAGGACCTTTTGTTGAAAAGTGTATATTTTCTCTAGACTTACTTCCATTGTCCATATGTACCTGGGTTCATTTCTGGATGGTCTAGGTTTTACCCCATTGATTTGTCTATGTTTGTATCAGTACCATTCTTAATTATTATTACTTTACTAAGAGTCTTGATATCTGGTGGAGCAAGTTCTTTTACCTTTGCTATTTCTTACCCCCGAGGATATTTTCCCATTGGTTTTTAGAAAGAGTGAGAGGGAGAGAAACATCAATGTGAAAGAGACACATTGATTGGTTGCCTCCCAAATGACCCTGACTGGTGTTGGGGATTGAACCTGCAACTGAGGTTTGTGCCCTTGACTGGGAATTGAACCTGCGACTCTGGTCCACAGGCCAATGCTCTAACCGCTGAGCCAAACTGGCCAGGGCTGCTCAGAATTTTTATTACAATTGAAAATAGAATTTTATCAAATTCCTTTTCCTCATGTATTATGACAGTCATTTTTTTTTCCCTTTCAGCTGTTAATGTGTGGTGAGTTACGTTCTTGATTTTCTAACGTTAGACCAACCTGAAATTCCTGGCATAAATCTAACTTGGTTGTCATATATTATGAAGATATTGCTGGATTTGGTTTGCTGATATTTTTTTGATGATATATGATATATATGAGATTGGCTTAGAGTTTTTCCTCCAGATCCTTGTTAGGTTTTAGCATCAAGTTTATACCAATCTCATAAAATGAGTTAGGGAGTCTACTTTTTATTTCATTCTTGGGAGATGTTTGTGTGAGATTGCAGTTATTCTTTCTTTAAATGTTTGATAGAACTTTAAAACATTGAGGCCTGGAGTTTTTTTTTTTTTTTAAAGAACTTTAAAATAGGTGTTTTTTTTTTTCTTCTTAAGCCATTTTAGGATGATTTAGGTTTTCTGATTCATCTTGTATCTTTTGTAAGTTATGATGTTTTTCTAGGACTTGTCCATTTCAGCTACATTTTAGAAATTTACCATAAATTTTCAAAGAACCAACTTTGGGTTTGTCCGAGCTTATTTGATACATTTACTCATTCATTAAATCTTACTCTTTTATTTCTTTCTCTTTCCTTGAATTTTCATTGCTTTTCTTTTTCTAAGTTTTTTAGATTGGTTCAGTCTAGTAGAAATAATATGTGTAATTTAAAATTTTAGTTGCTATATTAAAAATAAAAAGAAACAAATAAAAATAACTTTAATAACATTTTATTTACCACTAGATCAAAAATGTTTTTTTAATGCCTTCAATATAAAATTATTGAGATGTATGTGGTTTTTTTTGATACTATGCCTTCGAAAGCCAGTATGTAGTTTGCACTTAACAGCATCTCTAAATTCAGACCAGTCACATTTCATGTGCTGTATCTTCACATGTGGCTAATGGCTGTTGTATTGAACAGCACAGCTGTGGGTAGATATTTTCTGTTTTTATTTTCTAAAGTTTGCATTTAAGGTTATATATTTTTCTCCAAATATTCTTTTTACTGCATCTCATATGTTGATATTAGCATTTTCGTCATTATTGAGTGTAAAATATTATATTTTCATTATGATTTTTTCTTTGACTAATATGGTTAATAAAAATGTATTTCTTAATTTGTGGGGTTTTCTATGTATCTTTTTGATACTGATTTCCAGAATATTACGTTGTATTCAGAGACCCAAGCTCTCTGATTTTAGGCCTTCAGTCTCAATGTACAATAAAATTTTATAAACATTTTAAGCGTTCTTCCAGTGAATGTGTATTCTGCAGTAGCTGGGAGCGATGTTCTCTGTATATGTCCATTTGGTCACGTTTTGAATCCTGATGTTTAAATATGTTTCTTAACTGACTTTTTTTTCTTTTGGTTTTCTTGTTCATCAGTTACTGAGACAGTAGTTTAGAGTTCCCTACTGTATGTCTAAAAGTTTTTCATTTTTTTTTTTTTTTTTGTAGTTCTAATTTTTTGCTTTGTGTCTTTTTTTAAGTTTATAAATTAGAATTGTATGTCTTCTTGGTGAATTGAATGTTTTAATTTGAAGTTACCATATATTTCTAGTAAAGATTTTGCCTTAAAATCTCTTTTGTCAAATCTTGCTACATATAGTTACACTGACTTACTTTTGGTCAGTGTTTGCATGACAAATAAATCTTTTACTTTTAAAAAACTTTTCTGTATCTTTATGTGTTAGAAATCGCTTGTAAATAACATACAGAGATAGATTTTCTTTATTTTATCTACGCTAAAAATATTTTATTTTTCAACTATTTGTGAGTACTAATTTTCGTGTAACAGTCTTTCATTTTATGTGTTTTGTTCGGCCCATATGTTCTCTCCTACTTTTGTGTATTTTTGTATCATTATATTTGTTTCCCCTGTACCAGTCTGAAAGTTTTACACTCTGTTTACATGTAGTTATTCTCAAAATTACAACATTTATCCTTACATTATCAAAATTTATCAAACTTTATCCTCGTTCTGGGCCCTGGGAGGGCCTTAGAATACTTTAACTCCATTTAGTCCTTTCTCAGCTTAGCTTATTGTTGTCATACTTGATTTTATGTATTTCTTCAATTCAAGTGATACTATTGTTTATAAAATCAATGTTCATTTAGATTTATCATTATGTTTACTTTTTTAGTTTATATTGTTGGATGTATTTCAGACCCATCTGGAATTATTTTTCTATTGTGTAATATATATCTTTAGAAATTCTTTTACTACAATTCTACTGCTGGTACATTCTTGTCTTTGTTTCTCTGAAAATATTTTTTTATTTTGCCTTTTTTTTGTGAGAACATTTATGTTCTACTCTTAGCAAATTTCAGTTATAATGCTATATAGGGTGTTGTTAACAGTAGTCACTGTTAATAAATATTGAAGACTGTGAAGCAAATTAAAAGTTTGTTTGGTATCTGAAAGGATTCTAATCCAACAGACACAGATCCAGGTAGCAAACCAAATTGTACTCTGGAGACAGCAAAGAAAGGCAGGGTTTATG